GCTGAGAAACTGTTTAGCCAAGTTCGGATAAAATTGCATCCAAAGTAAGAGTATGCAAGCTATAAGCAAGTCCAAAATCAAGGTGTTGACAGGACCGTATTGTCTCTAAAGGTTCTAGGAGAGAACCCGTCATTTCCTTCCAGCTACTGGTGGCTGCGGGCATTTCTGCGCTGGTGGCTGCATCCCTCCAGTCTCTGCATCCATCTTAACATGACTTTCTTCCTTGTGTCTCTATGCATTCTTTCCTGTTTTTTCTTTTCTTTTTTTTTTTTTGAGACAGAGTTTCGCTCTTGTTGTCCAGGCTGGAGTGCAATGGCACGATCTTGGCTCACTGCAACCTCTGCCTCCCAGGTTCAAGCAATTCTCCTGCCTCGGTCTCCAGAGTAGCTGGGATTACAGGCCTGCACCACCACGCCTGGCTAATTTTGCATTTTTAGTAGAGATGGGGATTCTCCATTGTTGGTCAGGCTGGTCTCGAACTCCCGACCTCAGGTGATCTGCCCACCTCGGTCTCCCAAAGTGCTGGTATTACAGGTGTGAGCCATCGCGCCTGGCTTTCCTGTTTTTTATATAGACATTTTCATTAAATTTAGAACCCATCCTGATCCAGTATGATCTCATCTCCAGTTTTACCTAAATTATATCTGCAAAGGCACTATTTTCAAAGGAAATCACATGCTGAGATTCTAGATGCATATAACCTTTGGGGCTGAGAGACCTCTTCTACTCACATCAGAGATCCATCACCCTAAAGAGTTAATAACAAGAGAAACGTAGACTACAATCTCAAGCTCCCAGGATGACATTCCAGGGACTTCCTACTCCACCCTCAATCCACATCTGTGACTTCCTGTCCTACAGCCACACTCCAGCCCACATGCTGTTCCTGGCTCCCAAACCACTGCACTGCGCTGCCTTAACACTGTCTTTATAAAGCGGGAAACCACTGAAACTTCCTTAATTCCTTGAGTGTGCTGCCCCATGTAGTTGTTACCTGTGAGATAGGAACTGTCATTACTTCCATTTTACAGATGAGGGAGGTAAGGGTTAGAGAACATGAAGAATTTCCCAATATCACACAGTGAGCAATAAGTGAAACTGGAGTTCAAAAACAGATTCAGCTAGGTTCAGAGCTTGTGCTCTAGACCATGAAGAATAACCTTGGCACATTCCTATAACAGAAAAGACTGGAGTTCCTGGAGCAAGGCAAAAAGTGGTAGGAGATAGAAAGGTAAGAAGACCAGCACCTGATTAGCTGGGGCCTCATATGCATGGAAAGGTGAACAGTAATTCTGAGTATGGTGGGAACCCACCAGGGACAATGAGGAGGGTGAGAGCTTAGAAAGGACTATCTATTTGTCCTTAAAAAGGACTATCTATTCGTTATAAAGAGAAGTTTCGGGCCGGGCGCGGTGGCTCAAGCCTGTAATCCCAGCACTTTGGGAGGCCGAGGCGGGTGGATCATGAGGTCAAGAGATAGAGACTATCCTGGTCAACATGGTGAAACCCCGTCTCTACTAAAATTACAAAAAATTAGCTGGGCATGGTGGCGCGTGCCTGTAATCCCAGCTACTCTGGAGGCTGAGGCAGGAGAATTGCCTGAACCCAGTGGGCGGAGGTTATGGTGAGCCAAGATCGCGCCATTACACTCCAGCCTGGGTAACAAGAGTAAAACTCCGTTTCAAAAAAAAAAAAAAAAAAAAGAGAAGTTTCACTTAGTCATTCATTCATTCAGCTATTCATTTATTACATGACTATTCCTTGAGAACCTATCATGTGCAGGGCACAGTTGTACGTTGGGGGATACGATGGTGAGCATGTTGGATGCAATCCTGGTCTTTCTTGAGCTCATATTCTAGCAGAGGGAGAAAGATATAAGTAAGTGATATGGTTTGGATATTTGTGCCCTGCAAATCTCATGTTGAAATTTGCCCCAGTATTGGAGGAGAGGCCTAGTGGAGATTTTGGACCATAGGGGCAGATCCTGCATGAATGTCTTGGTGCCATTCCTACGAGTGAGTTCTTACTCTATTAGTTCAAGCAAGATCTGGGCGCTAAGAGAAAGCCTAGAGCCTCGTCTCTGTTCGTTCCTCTTGCCGTGTGATGTGCTCCCCTTCACCTTCCGCCAAAAGTGGAAGTTTCCTGAAGCCCTCAGGCAGAAGCAGATGCTGGCCATGCTTCAGGTACATCCTGTAGAACCACGAGCCAAACAAACCTCTTCTCTTCATAATTTACCCAACCTCAGGCATTCCTTTGTAGCAACACAACCAACTAAGACACCAAGCCATTAAGCCAATACAGGTAGTGATAGGCACTATTTTAAGAAAAAAAAAACTGTTATAGAGTGGCAGAGAGGAGAGGGAGCAAAACTCCAAACTGTCCAAAGAGGAAACATTTGAACTTAGATGGAGGCAATGAGGACGAACCAGCTGAGTGAAGGTCTAGGGGCAAGTCAACAGAAAGAGACTGAAGAGAAAGTGTTAGGGTCAATTTGGTGAGCAAAAATCCAGGAGAGGAAGACGTCTATGGTACCCAGAGAACAGCAATAATGCACAAGCATCATTATTTCAACAGCTACATAGAAACACCCTTGGTAGGATTAGGAAAAAGATGAATTGCTGCCATTTGGACACTCCAAGACTGTCCATTAATACTCTTGACTAATGGAAGATGACAAAGATTGGGCAAGAAAAATGACTGCAGCAAATGCCTTGGCATCTTCAACTTGTCACCTTTGGCAAGCAGCCTCTTTTAAGAGCTCTTGGGCTGGCAGCTGCGCACTCTCAGGACGGCAAGGAGACACAGCTGACATGATCTTTGCAATGCAACAAAACCAAGAGATCTTCAGGCGACAGACTTCAAAAGACGATAGAAAATTCATCCAACTCCTGAAGCGTGTGATGCCACCAGAGAGCCTTGGCAACAGCCCTTGCAACTCCAGGCGACAGCACCTCAGTCAAAACCAGCTCCTATCACATCTCCCTTCCTCTCCCGCAGCCAAGCTGGGCAAGAAGGGATTAGACTCTAGCCCCTCACAAAGCTTCAAGCTGCATGTGCCGCCAAAAGACCTTGAGAAAGTCACAGGAAAGTTTCTAAAATCTACGCAGAAAACATTTGCCCAAGGAGATTTATGTGACAAGCCGGGGCCCACTATGCAGAGCTGGTGGATGTCACCATTGCTTGACAGTATTTCCCCTTGACTCAGTTCTGTAAATCAGATGTCCCAAATACCCTCTAGTTTGATGAGGGCACATTTTCTTTCATTATCCAAATAAAATGGCTCAAGCTCCCATCTCATGTGCTATGAGATGTCCTGTGACCTTTCCAGTGCCTCAGAGAGTGGGAATGGGAAAGAGGAGTGGCTGGAGTAGGGCTTACCCTCCTGTGGGTCACCTCTCTTCCCTGCTGCTTCTGAACCCCGTCAGCCTCCCTCCCTCTTCGCCCACAAATATCCCCAAGCTGTTACAGTGTAGAGAATGTTTACCGAGGCTTTTAGGGATAACAGAAGTGGTTTCTTCACAACCACTCCTTCACAGCCAGAATGCGCCTAATTTAAAGCTGTGTCATTTTCATACACTTCCCATAACGTTTCCTTCCCGGGGAACTTCTCACGGCCTCGGTTTCCCCCTCGGTTTCTCCAGTTCTCACATACTGGGCCCCTCAAGCCCTCATTCATGGGCTGCCCACAAACAGTCAAATCCTTATTTTCTAAGCTGAGGCAGTTGAGCTCTCTCACTTATCCTTACAAATCTAGGTTTTGCCTAGAAGTAGGCAAAAAAGGAAGACAGAGGCATCTTCATCAACCACATAGTCTCATCAAAGCATTTTACTCTATCAAAGAGCCATTCATTTCTGATAGTCATGCTCTTCCTCCCTTAGAAGGCAGAGTCTCTCTTTTCTTTTCTTTTTTTTTTTAACTAAATACAATTTTTTCTTCCTGCCACACTGCCTCATGATCCTATTAAGAGATATCAAGATGAATGTCTAGGCGCGGTGGCTCACGCCTGTAATCCCAGCACTTTGGGAGGCCGAGGTGGGTGGATCACAAGGTCAGCAGGTCGAGACCATCCTGGCTAACACAGTGAAAACCTGTCTCTACTAAAAATACAAAAAAAATAGCCAGGCATGGTGGCATGTGCCTGTAGTCCCAGCTGCTCGGGAGGCTGAGGCAGGTGAATCACTTGAACCCGGGAGGCGGAGGTCGCAGTGAGCCAAGATCACACCACTGCACTCCAGCCTAGGCGACAGAGTGACATTCCATCTCCAAAAAAAAAGCACCAGCCATGAATTCACTTCCCTCCATAATACACTAACATGATGCTTTACTGAAAATAAAACAAAAATCCGTAAATTAAATCAGGCCCTTAGGATTCTTGGTAAAACTGGTGGTAGCAGACAGTGATGTCCTAGATTCAACTCTATGACTATTTAACGTCTGTAGTGGATCCTCAAGGCCCACACAAATTATTTAAGACCCTTGGACTAGTTAGCACCCATGCATTGGTCAGCTACATTCCCAAAGCACTGCCCATCTGCCACCATTATTACAAGCCCCAAATCCATGCCTAGAAATTAGGCAAGCCCAGTCCTCCACCACACAAGCCAAGGGAGCTTCGAGTATCACCACCTGGATGATAGCCATGGTCTTGGTTTCTCTCACTATTCTCCTGGTTTTGGTCCTCACTTCCAGTTCTCCAGAATCTACCTGTGTGTCCTGGCTCTGGCTTTGCTTCTTCTCTAAGCCCCATACACATCCCTTTCACCACTGACAGATTTTGCTTCCCTGATATTGACATTCAGCATTCTCTCCTGCAGGGCTTCTCAACCTTGGCACTATTGGCATTTGGGTCTGGATAATGCTTTCTGTGGCAACTGTCCTGTTGTAAGATGTTAAGCAGCATCTCTGACTTTGCCTACTAGATGCCAGTAATACCCCATCATTGTCAAATGTCTCCCGGGGCACAATATGGCACCTGGATGATAAACACTAATCCACTGACCTTGCACTTGTCATTTTGGTGCTACGAAAACTAGCTCTCAATGGCTTCAGCTCTCCAGAGGAAACCAGTGTAGATGAGACTTCATCTGAGTTCTCGTGTGAACCTGGTGAAGTTCTGGCTGTCCAAGAATTGCTCCATCAAGTCTTGCCTGAAGAATTCTAAGCAGTTTAAATCCAAAAATTGTCCTCATCTGGCTGGTCAAAGATAAAATAGATGGTTGAACATTAATTTATCCAATTTTTAATATGCTACCAAGACTCAGTGATCGAATTAACTTTTTCTTCTTTTACTCATATTTAGGGGCTTAAACTCAAGCGAGTCACTGGGGAGCCAGTAGTGTCCAGAGGACTCAGTTGAAATGAGGCACAATGAGGAAAAACTAGGCTATTTAACGTCCATATTGAAGAGCTTTGCAAGTTACTCTCACAAACGTCCCTACAGACTCGGTTCTAACAAGTCTGCTCCAGGCCAAGCGTTTGTTTTCTTTTTGGGTCTGGGGGAGTCATCTTTACAATTTTGATATTCTGCTACAATGCCTTGCCTCTAGAAGGAGGGTCATATCACAATCACATCAAAATATTGAACTCAGCCTTTATAAAAATAAGCTTTGATAGAAAGGAAAATGAGAAGACTAAGGCAGTCTGGTAGCATACTAGAAGGAGACATCTTTTAAGGGGAGGACAAAATAAGGCATGAAAACAGAAAACTTGGTCCTACACAAGGTAAGGTCCTACACTGGCTTCATTGCTACCCTACAATTCTTAATTCCACTTAACATCTGTTCTGAGGTGGCCACATTTACAAATGTTTACAACCCCACAGTGAGAAAACAAGGTGTGTTAGTTCATTTTCATGCTGCTGATAAAGTCATACCCAAGACTGGGAAGAAAAAGAGATGTAATTGAACTTACAGTTCCACATGGCTGGGGAGGCCTCAGAATCACAGGAGGAGGTGAAAGTCACTTCTTACATGGTGGAGGCAAAAGAAAATGAGGCAGACGCAAAAGTGGAAACCTCTGATAAAACCATCAGATCTCATGAGGCTCATTAACTATAAGGAGAATGGCATGGGAAAGACTGGCCCCATGATGCAATTACCTCCCACTGGGTCCCTCTCACAACACGTGGGAATTCTGGAAGATGCAATTCAAGTTGAGATTTGGATGGGGACACAGCCAAACCGTATCACAAGGGAAAGAAGACAAGAAGCTATCCCATCTCCAACAACTAATATGTTGTGTTTACATAGCTTTGAGTCTTTCAGATACCCCAAGATCCTAGAAGGGAGAGAGATCAGAAAGGAATTACAAGGGGTTTGTAGAGGAAATCTATGGTTGGTGTAATAAGAATTATTTTGTCTCCACAAATTAGAAAACTGCAAAGTTCTCATGCTCAAAGCTTCTTGAAATTCAAATGTACTTTTCATTCTCAAGGTAGAGAATTTGGAGTTTCTTGAGGAAAATTAATTTTTTATGAAAGCATGAGAAATTGTTTTCAAACAAACTTATTACATATCTAAAGTTAATTCCAACCCCCACCACCACCACCCCCTTTTTTTTAATAATTTCGGCTTTTATTTTAGATTCAGGGGGTACATGTGCAGGTTCGTTACATGAGTATCTTACACGATGCTGAGGTTTGGAATAAGAAACATTCTGTCACCTGGGCAGTGAGCATGGTATACAACAGCTCCCTTTTCAACCCTTGCTCCTCTTTCCTTCCTTCTCTAGGAGTCCCTAGTGTCTACTGCTATCATTCAAGGTGGAGTATTTGTAAAGAATATAGAGTTTAATTAGGAACTATTAGGTTGATGCAAAAGTAGGTGCAGTGTTTGCCATTACTGTCTTTTTTTTTTAAATGGAGTCGCGCTCTGTTGCCAGGCTGGAGTGAAGTGGTGTAATCTCAGCTCACCAAAACCTCCGCCTCCTGGGTTTAAGTGATTGTCCTGCTTCAGCCTCCCAAGTAGCTGGGACTACAGGCATATACTACCATGCTTGGCTAATTTTTGTGTTTTTAGTAGAGACGGGTTTTCACCATGTTGGCCAGGATGGTCTCAATCTCTTGACCTCATGAATTCACCTGACTCAGCCTTCCAAAATGCCAGGAGTACAGGCGTGAGCCACCACACCCAGCATGTCATTACTTTTCATGGCAAAATCGCAATTACTTTTACACCAACCTAACAAAACTCAGAACACCACATTTTCTCAGAATGCATGAGAAATGGCACACTAGTCACCATTAAGCCTCTCTGAACAAGGAAAAGGTCAGCAGGAGGATTGCTCAGCCAGTTCCAGGGCATGAATGTTGCCTTGGGAAGAAATATCTTGTTCTTCAAAAAAAAAAAAAAAAAAAGCAACGGCTTTGAAGATTTTCCTGTTTTGAAATCCTATTAGTTCTAAAAATCAAGATATTTCCTCTAGTTTATTTATGTTAGAAGAATGTTCCTGATTGATATTTCTTTTACAAAGCCATTGAGCATCCTGGGATAAGGAGTTACACCAAGCTGCCTGTTTGGGTACCGGCTTTGCTATTTGCCTTTTTATTTCAGGTCCTTGAAAAGAAACTTTGACTCCTTGTTCTGATTCCTGGGCTACACATTTAAGCTACCAGTGGCAATCTAAAAGACTCCTTCTATTTTCAAAGATCCTGATTATTTCTCATGCAATTACTCGTTATTATTTGAGATTAAATAAAATTAAGGCTTGTTTTTTCCTTTGCAGTGTTTTTTGGGCATCACACTTAAATTAGCGTACTCTAATTCCAATACATCATAAAAATTTATGGAGAGATTGGTTCACAGAGAGATTTAAGAGTGTGTCATCATTTTAAAAGGAAATACTTACTTTAAAGTTTTATAGACATTAAGCTTCCTGCCTCTTTGGTAAGAAAATAGCACACTGTGAAATGAGTTTTTAAAACAAGCAACCGATTCTTCAACTGTTTTTTTCTTCAGCCTTATCTTTCCTGGTTATTTATGAGCCTGCAGTCATTCCAAGACACGATTGTAAATAAGTTGTAAAATCTGGTGACATTTTTCAGGGTCAAATGCGCAAATGTAAATGAAACATGTTCTTGCCTCCAGCAGCCAATCTCTCATTCCTCAGTGGAATAGAACCCAGATACATACCTATGATCATCAAGAACTTACCTTTTTGTTGAGTTAATCTTCCATTCAACTAATATTTACTATGTCCTATTATGTACCAGGTACTGAAGATACAGCAGTAAGCAAAACCACTCATGATCCTTGTCCTCATATGGCTTACAGTGCGGGAGAAAATTATATGTAAAAAGAAAACACAAGGAAATGCAACATAGGAAACACAGGCACAAGGAAGGAGGGTATGGTTCTGGGAAGGCTTCTTGGTGGGAGCAACCAGACAGCAAAACAGGCTTGGCCAGGACAGACGTGAGTCTGACATCCAGCTGGCTGATGATAGAGCTGTAAGTGGCTTCGCCTCCAGAATCATGGAGACAGATACTGAGCCATTTACCCTTCAGTGAAGTCCATCCTAAAATTCAGTGCTAACTAAACTTTTTTCTGTAAAGAAAACAGGGCTCCCCCTGTTGCTCACTCTCATATTCTCTCTCATGTATTCTTTCAAATCATTAGTCAACCACTTCACTCAGCACATAGTGACTTAGAACTACAGAACCTTATTCTCCAATGAGACTGCAGTAAAGTAACAGTTGATCATTTAAAATATTTTTAAATTAATAATGGTTTTGTTTTATTTTATTTTTATTTTTTTGAGATGGAGTCACACTGTCCCCCTGGCTGGAGAGCAGTGGTCGTCATCCTGGCTGGAGTGCAGTGGTCAATCTCCCAGCTCACTGCAACCTCCACCTCCCAATTTCAAATGACTCTCCTGCCTCAGTCTTCTAAGTAGCTGGAATTCCAGGCATGCACCAACACACCCAGCTAAGTTTTATATTTTTAGTAGACACAGGGTTTCACCATGTTGGCCAGACTGGTCTCAAACTCCTGACCTCAAGCGATCCTCCCACTTCAGCCTCCCAAAGTGCTTGGATTACAGGCATGAGCCACCATGCCTGGCCTAAATTAATAATATTTTTAAATGGCAACTTATAATAGTAAACATTTATGGGTTACAATATAATGTTTTGATACATTTATTCAAGATGAAGTGATTAAAGCAAGATAACTAACATATCCATTACCTCAATTAATTATCATGTTTGTGGTAAGACATTTAAATTTACTCTCTCAGCAATTTGAATATACAGTTTATTTATATTAACTATAGTAATGATATTATGCAATAAATCTCAAGAACTTCCCCCTCCTGTGTAAATGGCACTTTGCACACGTTCACCAGTATCTCTTCATTTCTTCTTCTCCTTTCCCCAACCAGTCTCTGGTACACCCTTCTACTCTCTACTTCTATGAATTTAATTTTTCAAAATTCCACATATAAGTGAGATGATGTGATACTTGTGTTTCTGTTCCTGGCTTATTTCATTCAGCATAACGTCCTCCAGGTTCAAGTGCTACATTAAAACAATACATGCACGAAAAATATCATTTTACCTCGAGATACACACATGCAGATTGGTTAGCCAGTGTTTGTAACGGAGAGGCAAGGACTTCTCTGCGAGTATGGACAACTAATGGTGATACTGTCCAGTAGAACCCTCCAAGATAATGAAACATTCTATGCCTGTCATAATACGGTCATCCCAAGCCATGTGCGGCTATAGCTGCAGAGCATCCTTGTTATCTTCTCTGCACAGATCACATCCATATGCCTCCTCTCTGATTTCAGTTTTGGTTGCTTTAAATGAAATGAGAACATAAAGAAACGGTGACATATTCTGAGAGCAGAATCCTTCTACTACATGCCCTCTCCTTTTCCACCTTCCTGCTATGGGAAACATTCCTTTATCTTCTACCAGTCAGAGGTCAGCCTCTACTTGGGGTCCTGTGACGAGGAGACCTGTGACTAGAAAACACATTGAGAAAAAATTCTCACCACATGGGTCAAGCAACATAGTGGATAAATAAGAGGAAAGATGAGACTTGGGACTGGATCCAGGAGACCTATTGTGAACAATGACATGGACTTCAGGAAAAGAGGAATCAAAGGAGAGGGAGTAATTTTAAAGGGTGCCATACAGAAAATTATTCCTAAGCAGAAGAGACCCTGGAGTCTAGAGACTGAAAGGACTCCAGAGTTCTATACTTGATGAATAAAGAAAAACAAACTTGAATATTTTTTTTCTAATTTTTTTCCAGGTCTTTCAGCACACCTAATCTGATTATTGCTTCATTTAGCAATCTGCACCTTTTAGGTCTTTTGATACCTTCAGTGCCCATCTTCTCCTCCCACTCCTGCCCAGTTCCTCTCTTGAGATGGTTGGTTTCTTACCTGGACAGAGTAGGGGGTAGATGGGAATGGGTTCTAGTGGATGGAGTGTCTGTAGAGTTTTCTTATTTTGAGCTGGGAAAGAGCCATGAGACCAGCACCTGAAAACCTGGAGATAGAGATTGCTAATGACAGATTTGCAAAAACAGTGTGATCTGTGGGGATACAAGAACTCCTGAGGTGAGAGACAGTACCAGTCCTATCTCAGTATGCCCAGTATCCATGGCTCCTAGAGGCCACGAAGACAGTGAACAGACGAACTTAATTTTTTACATCTGTGAAGCCAGAAGAGCACAGAGACACTTTGGCACAGAGGCTCTTCTCAGGCCCTCAGCACGGGACTGCTGTCTACCTTCCACTACACGCCCTCCCCTTCTACCTTCCTGCCTTCCACCTTCCTGCTATGGGAAACATTCCTTTATCTTCTAGCAGTCAGAGGTCAGCCTCTACTTGGGGTCCTGTGACGAGGAGACCTCTGACTGTTTTCAAATAACATAGCAAGGGAAACTCGGCATCTAAAGAAAGCCCAATCCAAACAAACAAAACATCTGGCCAGTGAACAGAAGCTTCTAAAGATAACAGAGAACCAAGCAAATAAAGAAGGATACTTAAGGAGAATCAAATGCATACCAACAAGAATGTCTGGACTAGGACATAGGATTTCTCCATTGAATATGGCTGCCAGAATTAAAGCAACTACATACAAATAACTACAAGACACCCCATTAAATTTGAATTTCACATAAATAGTCAAGAAATTTAGTATATTATGTCCCATGCTATAGTCAACATACTTACACTAAAATTTTATTCACCATTTATCTGAGATTCAAATTTAATCAGTTGTTCAGTATTTCATCTGGCAGCTGTTCCATTGAACAATTTGGTATATGAGTTAAAGAGAGAACAGTCATTGGAGAGACACGAACTAGCGACTAGAAAACACATTGAGAAAATATTCTCACCACATGGGTCAAGCAACGTAGTGGACAAATAAGAGGAAAGATGAGACTTGGGACTGGATCCAGGAGACCTATTATGAACAATGACATGGACTTCAGGAAAAGAGGAATCAAAGAAGAGGGAGTAATTTTAAAGGGTGTCATACAGAAAATTATTGCTAAGCAGAAGAGACCCTGGAGTCTAGAGACTGAAAGGATTCCAGAGTTCTAGACTTGATGAATAAAGAAAAACACTCACTTGGGCACGTCCTGGCATTCCCAAAAGTTTAAAACAAAAAGAAAAACAAAACAAAAAAAAGCTGACAAGCTAATCAACAGAAAGTACACATCTGCAAAAAGAAAAATTAGCATCTGACTTCTTAGTGACAACACTGGAAGCCATAAGACAATGGAAATGACCTTTGCCAATAGCTAAGCCTAAAGCAACTTATGACCCTCTACTTATTCAAGATGGTATTCACCCACCAGGGCAAAAGAAGGAAACTGCTAACACACAAGAATGTGAAGAGTATACCACCAGCAATTCCCACCTGAAGAAAACAATCAAGCAAAAATCTTCAAAAGAGAGAATTAGATTGAGATCTCAAGACATAGGGAGATGAGAGGAAAGAAAGCACCGATGAAAATGAACCCAATATAGACAGATTAAGTGGATGTTAATGGCTATTGGGGGATTTTGTAGTGTAAATGCTACGTAAGTCCTTTGGAAATAGGAGGGACATGCAGCAAGGAAAATTCCAATTATAATCTGGGACTAAAATCCTAGAGAATCCCAGGAAAATCTAGGAGTTATAGGTAGAGAGGGAGAAGAGATGTAAAAATGTTCCAAAGATCTCACCTCAGGGAGCGGGAAGGGGTGATGAGGAGAAAAGAAGGAAAGGAATCATTTTAGAGGTTTCATCTTTTACAGGGTCAAGGGACAGAGGGAGATGACCACGGTGGAGGAACGATGTGCCTTTCTGAGGAAATACTGGAATCTCACTTGCAAAAAGAAAAGAAAGAGAAAAGTATATAGATGTCTAATGAGCACAAGAAAACAGAATAGAACAAAAATTTCAATCAAACATCTAAATCAACAAGGAGAAAACAGAAGCAATATAGAATGAATAGCCATCCAATGAAATCAGAAAAGAATGAGGAAAAACAAAGAGAAATTGAAAACTAAAATAACAATTATGAAGTAACACGAATTTTGAAGTAATGTAAAATATAAGATTAAGCATATCAGTCTTTATACTAAAGAAAAGTTAAAAATAAAGGGATGGACAAACAGACGCCAGGAAAACACAGTAAAAAACAGAAGAGGAAAGAAACCAATAATACCAGAAAAGATAGAGTTTAAGGCTAAAAGCACTAAGTGCTAAAACAGGGACTCCATTACTAATGCAGTGATCCATATAGATTCTTGTTTATGTGAAGCTAACTGCAGAAATGAAGGAAAGGGATAAGCTTTTGGAACATATCAGAGCTCAGGAAATGAGACCGACAAGCAGAGCCCAGGGACAAAATGTCAGAAGGAAGGTGAACAGTTAGAAATTAAAACTGACATCAGCAAAATGGTGGAATCAGAGCTTTCTACCGTCATCACGCCTCACTCCACAGAAGCATTAACTTTAGCAATTACCAACAGTTAGGAGTATCTTTGGGGAGTCCAGAGGAAAAGTTTCAGCACACTATTGGTGCAAAAACTCTGAGTCTAGGTGCATTGAAGAGGGTAACAAGAACAGTTAACACTATCCTAGTCTTCCCTCCTCTAAGGCAGCACAGCTCAGTGACAAAAAAGATCCCCTTTAACCACAATTTCTCCCATAGGGAAAGTGAGAGCATAGGGGTGGTGAATGCCCAGCTTCCCCAGTCATGCAGGACATGGCTCATGAAGACCACTTCTTTCCCATCCCAGCCACAATACTGAGGTGATCGCCATGGCTGAGTAGTGGGGAGAGAATGTTCCTAGGAAGAGAGGCTGCAGATCCTACTAACCATTCCATGGACTCCGTCAGGAAACCCATCCATGAGCCACTTGGGATGCCTTGCTTGTGGATCCCTCCCAACTGACCCCTAGGCATCCCAAACACGGCTTACGCCTCAACCCCATCTTCCCCAGACCAGACTCCCAAGCATGCCCCTGTGGACAGCATTGCAAGCATCTTACACACAGAGGCAGCTCAATTTTGTGAGATTGAAGGAACGTACACAATTTGAGGGTTTCAAGACACCATCCTAGGAAAAACAAACAGGAGCCTCTGAGCACCTGGCCTGGCTTTGCAGGGTCAAGAGTAGACATACAACCTAAAGAAATCCCCTTAGAGGAGCTGGGTGCAGTGTCTCACACCTGTAATCCCAGCACTTTGGAAGGTGGAGGCACATGGATCACTTGAGGTCAGGAGTTTGAGACCAGTCTGGCCAACAATGTGAAACCCCATCCCTACTAACACACAAAAATTAGCTGGGTGTGGTGGCACAAATCTGTAGTCCCAGCTATTCAGCAGGCTGAGGCAGGAAAGTTGCTTAAACCCCGGAGGCAGAGGTTCCAGTGAGCCAAGTTTATGCTACTGTACTCCAGCCTGGTTGATTGAGCAAGGCTCCATTTAAAAAAAAAAAAAATCCCCTTAGAGGGAACAAGAGGTGTACAATGGATGTATCCATAAAAAGATCTAAGAGTGCCATGAAATTCCTAGTTGGGCTGTTTGGTGGAGATATTTCTCTCCCAAGGACAGTCAGTAAAGACTGGAGGAGATGACCACTTCTTCAAATGTGAAGATAGCAACACAAAATGTAAAGAAGAATGAAAAATCAAGGAAAAGGAGAAGGTGTGGAAAAAAAGGAAAAGAAATCAAGAAAACATGACACCACCAAAAGAACAGAGTAATATTCTAGTGACCGACCCCAACGATAAGGAGATCTATAATTCCCTGAAAACATTTCAAAATAATTTAAGAAAGCTCAGTGAGCTGTAAAAAAAAAAAAAAAAACACACACACACACACACACACACACAGATAACTTAACATTATCATAAAAGTAAATAAATGAAACAATAAGTTCAATAAAGAAAAAGAAATCATCTTAAAACAACTAAATGAAAATTCTGGAATTGAAGAAAACAATGAATAAAATGCAACAACTGCAGTAGAGAAGGGCAATGGCAGACATGATGAGGCAAAAGAAGTAATCTGTAAACTCAAAGACAGGTCACTAAAAAATATCTAGACAAAGAAGAAAAAGGAATGAAAAGGAATGAAGAAAGCCTATGAGATTCATTTGACGCCTTCAAAAGAGCTACCATTCACATTATAGAAGTCTCGGAAGAAGGTATAAAGAAAGGCGCAGAGTGCTTATTGAAAGAAATCATAGCTGAAACCTTCCCATATCTGGTGCAACATATGGACATCCAGATACATGAAGCTCAAAAGTCTCCAATCAGTTTAACTCAAACAAGTTTTTACCAAAACATATTTTAATCAAACTGTAGAAAATCAAAGACAAAAAAAAAAAAAAAAAAAAGGATTTGGAAAGCAGCAAGAAAAAAGAGGTTCCTCACATACAAGGGAACTCTCATAAGGATATCATCAAATTTCTCAGCAGAAACTGCAGTCCAGGAGAGAGTGGGATGACATAGTCACAGTGCTTAAAGGAAAATAACTGTCCAAGAATATTACACCTGGCAAAGCTGTCCTTCAGAAATGAAGAGATAAAGACTTTCCAAGATAAACAAAGCCGAGGAAGTATATCACTGCTAGACCTGCCTTACAAAAAATGCTAAATGAAGTTCTTCCAGCTGAGACAAAAGAACACCTATTAGTACGATGAAAACAAAGAAAATTATAAAACTCACTGATAAAAGTGAGTATATAGTCAAATTCAGAATACCTTAATTCTGTAATTGTGGTATGTAAATCACTTATAACCCTAGTATGAAGGTCAAAAGACAGAAGTGTTAAAACAATAATAGCTACAATCATGTGCTAATAGATACGCTATATTAAAATATGTAAATAGAGACATCGAAAACATAAAATGTGAGGGAGAGGGAGCAAAAGTGCTAAGTTTTATATGCAATCAAATTTAAGGTGACATTAGCTTAAAATTAACTGTTACAGCTATGAAATGTTTTATATAGGCCTCATGATACCCACAAAGCAAAAACCTAGAATAGATACAGAAAAGATAAAGAGAAAGGAACGAAAGCACACCACTATAGAAAATAATCAAATCACAAAAGAAGACAGCAAGAGAGGGAGAAAGGAATAAAGCACCTTTTTTAAAAAAACAGCCAGAAAACAATTAACAAAATAACAACAGTAAGTCCTTACCTATCACGAATTAACTTGAATGTAAATGAATTAAATGCTCCTGCCAAAAGATCTACAGTGGCTGAAGGGACAAAATAAAAACCAAACCAAAACAAAAACCAGGGCCAGGTGGTTCATGTCTGTAATCTTAGCACTTTGGGAGGCCAGTGCAGGAGGATCGCTTGAGGCTAGGAGTTTGGGATCAGTCTAGGTAACACAGCAAGACCCTTTCTCTACAAAAAAAATACAAATAAAATGATTAGCCAGGAATGGTGGTATGTGTCTGTAGCTCTAGCTATCTGGGAGGCTGAGGCAAGGAGTTCAAGGTTTCAGTAAGCTGGGATCACACCACTACACTCCAGCCTGGGTGACAGAGTTTGACCCTATCAAACAACACCAGAAAACAAGACCCCAGCCCCTCAACAATATGCTGCCTACAAGAGACTCACTTCAGCTTTAAGGACACATGTAGGCAGAAAGTGAAAAAGATATTTCATGCAAAAAGAAAACAAAAGAGAGCAGCGGGAGCCATACTCATATCACACAAAATAGACTTTAAGTCAAAAACTGACAGAGACAAAGTAGATCATTATATAATGATAAAGCAGTTAATTTTTGAAGAGGACTAACAATTATAAATATAAATATAACTATGTAAGGTAAATATTAACAGACACAAAGAGAGAAACAGGCAGCAACACAATAATAGTGGGGGGCTCTAGTACCCCACTTTGAACAATGAGTAGATCATCAAGATGGAAAGTCAATAGGCAAACATTAGACCTGAACTACACTTTAGACTAAATGGATCTTACAGACATATATTCTTGCTGTGCTGTCTAGACTGGTCTCAAACTCCTGGGTTTATGAGCACTGTGTATGGTCCTTGTTTTGTTTCGTTTTTTCCATTCAGAAGTAGAATACACATTCTTCCCCAAATGTACAGAGAGCATTAGCTAGGATAGATCATCCGTTAGGCATCTGTCTTAGTCCATTATCTGGCTGCTATAACAGAATACCTTAGACTGGTTACTTGATAAATAATAGAAATGTACTTCTCACAGTTCTGGAGCCTGGAAACTCCAAGATTAAGTCCCCAGGAGATTCAGTGTCTGATGAAATCGTCACTTTGCTTCACAGACGACTCCTCTTGCCACACCCTCACATAGCAGGAGAAGGCAGCTCCCCTCAACCTTTTTTTGTAATGGCACTAATCCCATTTGTGAGGGCAAATCCCTCATGACTTATCACCTCATAAAGGCCCCTCCTCCTCATACTGTCATAATGGGGATTAAGTCTCAACATATGAATTTTGACTACAGCAGCCACAAACCAAGCCTCAACAAATTTAAGAAGATTGACATCTATCATATATCTTTTCCAACCATAATAGTACAAAACTAGAAATGAATAACAGGAGGAAAATTGTAATCTTCACAAACAGGTGGAAATTAGACAACCTGCTCCTCACCTGATCGTATCAATGGATCCAGAAAAAGCATTTGATAAAATCCAACATCAGTTCATGATAAAAACACTCAATAAACAAGGAATAGAGTGGACTTTCCTCACGTTGATAAAGAATAAACAGCATGCTCCTAAACAACCAATGAGACAAAGAAGAAATCAAAAGAGAAATTTTAAAATATCTTGAGACAAATCAAAATGGGAATACAATATACCAAACTTTATGAGATGCAGCAAAAGCAGTTCTACGAGGGAAGTTTATGGCAATAAATGCCGACATGGGGGGAAAAATAATCCACCTAACTTTACACCTCAAGGTAAACAAAAACACACTAAGCCCATAGTTAGTAAAAAGGAAATAATAAAGATCAGAGCAAAAATGAAAGGAAATAGCACAAAAACGGTAGAAAAGATCAAGAAAGCTAAGGGTTTGTTTTTGAAAAGATAAACAAAATGGACAAACTTTTAGCTAGACGGAGTCAAATCAAATCAAAACTGAAAGAGGAACTCTTACAACCAATAACAGAGAATTCAAAAAATTATGAGACCACTGTAAGTATTTATATGTTAACACATCATATAACCTAGAAGAAATGAATAAATTCCTAGAAACATACAACCTATTAAGACTGAATCATGAAACAGAATTTAGAAAAGACTAATTAAAATTACATGCTCTGTTCTCATGGACAACTGGGAGCTGAACAATGAGAACACACGGACACAGGGACACACCACACCCTGGGGCTTGTCAAGGGGTGGGATCGGGGAGGGAGAACATCAGGAAAAACAGCTAATGCGTGGTGGGCTTAGTACCTTGGTGATGGGTTGATAGATACAGTAAACCACCAGGGCACACATTTGCCAAATCTGCACATCCGATACATTTACCCTGGAGCTCAAAATTTTAAAAATTACATGCTCTAATTAATAAAGTAACAAAAATTATAGAAAATACATAAATAACCAAAAGTAGGAAAAGTAAAAATTCCAAAAACTGGAAAATGTTTCACAAGTTTGATTAAGAAAAAAGGATAGGGAAATTATATATTCAGGATTCAGAATGCTTAAAATATATATATAATACATATATATATATGTATATACATATATATATATATATATATATATATATATATATATATATATATGAGATGGAGTCTCACACTGTCACCAGGCTGCAGTGCAGTGGCAGGATCTCAGCTCACTGCAATCTCTGCCTCGCAGTTGAAGTGATTCTCCTGCCTCAGCCTCCAAGTAGCTGGGATTACAGTCACTGGCCATCACACCCAGCTAATTTTTTTTTTTTTTTTTTGTATTTTTCATAGAGACAGGGTTTCACTATGTTGGCCAGGCTGGTCTCGAACACCTGACCTTGTGATCCACCAGCCTCAGCCTCCCAGAGTACTGGGATTACAGGCGTGAGCCACTGCTCCCAGCCACAAATATTATAAGAAAATATTGCCGCAAATTGTTTTTAAAACTTTTAGGAAACAAATGAGTTTCTAGAAATAAATGTTTATTACTAAAACTAACCACCCCCAAAATGGAAAAGTTGAATAAATCATTATGATGGAAGAAATAAAATGATTAAGTGTCTAAGCTTGTACAAGGGTTTAGGACAACATAGATTTATCTTTCCAAAATATATAAAACCAGTATTAACTATTTCAGCGTGCAGAAAAAGACAGAAACTCCTTGATTCATTTTATTAGTCCAATGTCACTTTTAACACCAAAACCCAACAAAGATTTCAAAAATTAAACATAGAACAAGAGTTATCTAGAAAAACAAACCTCTTTGTTTTTGCACTCATGTTCCATTAGTGTATGTAATGTTTAATTAAATTGTATGAATATAATAAAAGTTCAATCCATCTAAAAAGGATTAGGAACAAGCAACACCGACTGTTGATGAGCATATTATACAATTATGCCAAAATAGCACTGCACAACAAATCACCCAAAACTCAAAGTGTCTGCAACCACGAACATTTATTCTCACGCTCATGGGTCCACAGGTCCACTGCAATTTGGCTTGTCTAGGCTGGCCCCAGAGAGTGGCTTTGCTTTAAGCTGTAGGTCAGCTGGGCTGAATTTCCTGCTGTGGGTTTCAATCACGTCTTTATCAGTTGTCTCTCATTCTTCTTGGACCAGTGACTTCTTAGGGTTCGTTCTTCCCATGGTAATAACAGAAGTGCAAAAGCCAAGCTAAATCACACAAGCAGATTTAAGGCCTCTCTCCATGTCAAGTCTGCTAGCCTTCCTTTGGCCAAAGAAAGTCACGTGGCCACGCCAAATTCAATGACACAGGAAAGTGTATTCCACCCACAGTGAGAGCAGGTATATTGAATGATGGTCCCAACCACCAAAATAAGCCTACAACTCAACTAATTGAAGCTATAAATTGAAGCTCAACTGCTGAAAGCCCTAGTATTTTTTTAAAAAGGGGAAAAAAACCTAGCTTATTAGCCCCAAATGCTTATCATGCTGAGGACAGACAGAATGAAGAAAGATTGCAAAGATGGTGAATCGCTTAAGCGAACAGGGCTAAAAGGGCTGCGGAAACACTGCATATTGGGTTGGAGTGTTTCTTCCTCATATATCACTAATTTTCAAAATGGTTATAGATTCTTTTTGGGTATTATGTCTTAAAATGGAATATGGGTATTCATTTAGTGTAACTGTGTAAGCAATGGCCACTTATACTGTAAATAACTAGGTCTGTCTCCCTTTAAACTGTAAGCTCCTTGAGTGTAGAGCTCCTTTCAACTCTATGTCCTCAGCACCTAGCATTGTGCCTGGTATGTAACAGGCACTTCATCAGTTCTTGAGAGAGTGAATAATGAGCCTCCTTGGCCTATCCCAAGGCTGTGATTGGCATTAAGGCTCCGGACTTCACTTGGATGGCCCTGCCTTTGGAAGCTGCCTCCCCAGTCCAGATTTAAGTTACTGGGAGTTTCCTGTTCTATACAGAATGGCTCTCTCACCAGGGCTTTAGATCCTGTCTCTTAAGACATTTCCTCTTAAACTTAAATTTGTTAAAACCCCAGACCCATTCTTTCTTTTAGCAAGACAGAGTGAGGCTCACTGACTTTTCTTCTGGCTTCATTTCCTCTTCTGATGAATCTGCCTTTCTCTTATCTCTGTCAATTCAATTCAACATTCACTGGGCACCTACCACATGCCTGACCCTTCCCTGGGACACTGGAGATGGCACGACCAACATCTGTTTCAAAGGAAGTTTCATCCTCTTATGAGAAATCATTCCTTCAACCTCTAAACAAAATGTCTCAGTTTACATTTGCAACCCTGCATGTAATTTTCCAGCAATACTTATTTATTAGGTGGCAAAGATTTCCCAAAACTAACTTCTTAGTGGTTGCATAACTAACATTCCTTTCTTCTAAAAGAGTCCTCTCTGATAGAAATATAATGCACACCACAAACGTGATTTTTAAACTTTACTAGCCATGATAAAAAAATAGTAAGAAGAAACAGGAGAAATCTAACTTACTAATGTAGTTAATTCAATCCAGTATCTCTGAAGTATTATCTTTTAGTACATAATCAATATGAAATAATTTTTTCCAGCCTCTCAAGATCATCAACATGAAATGATATAGTTTACATTTCTTCATATTAAATCTTTGAAGTCTGAGGTGTATTTTACGTTTATAGCACATCTCAATTTGGACCACCTACATTTCAAGTGCCCGGGAACCACATGTGGCTGCCATATTGGGCCGCACAGTTATTAAAAATCCGTGTATTCCTGTAGAGGTGTGCTCAGCAGTTGTTCCCACTCAAATTTGCTGACATGGCTATTGTTTCAAATGTACGTGTATTCATGTTAAGTCTGCCACAGAGACTTGAGTAAAGTTTTCCCATTGATTAATAGTAATTTCCTGAGAGCCTTATATGGTAGATGTTTTAAATAAGTTACTTCATCTAAACCTAACTTAAAAGTAGATATAATTATTCTCATTTACAGATGGTAAAACTGAGACATACAGAGGTAAAAACTTGCCTAATGACATCCAGCTAGAATATACCTAGCTTAAAATCTTGTATTCTTTCCTCCACAGCAGGTGGAGGTAACGTGGTATGCTGTGAGGGGCCAGGTAGCTCCTAGTTTAGTCTTCGTGGGCCGTTGCGGCAACCTCTCAACTATGCTGTTGTGGTGAGAAAGCAGCCACAGACAGTGTGTGAACAGATGGGCGTGGCTGTGTTCCACTAAAACTTTATCTACAGAAGCCGGCAGCAGGAGGGATTCAGTCTTTGGGCTGTAGTTTGTCAACCCCGATCTACACCATGTTTTTACTTTCTTTAACTCTAGAATTTCTCCAGACATTTGGAAAACGATTATTCCGGACATCCCAACAGTCATCACTGTATGCAGAAAATCTCAGAATGAAATGACAGAAAAAGGCTTAAATTTTGAGACGGCTCAGAGAAATTTAAAAAAAAATCCCGCTGAAGTCCATTCTTTGAAATATTATCTTACCTAATCCTTGATGGATGGGGTATCTTCCTATCCTCAGACTTCACCAGTGGGTGTTAAATTCTCACACTTTTACCCTGTCGTCCACAGATTGAGTGCTCAGTTTGTGCCCATTCTACCACACTTGTTTAGCACATCCTCAATCTGAGTGTGCTGGCCTCTCAGTTACCCAAAGGAACAACTACCCAGAAGAACTGAAGGTCGTTCTCCGAGAGTCAAACTGTGAATCAAGATACACAAAT